AATTTCCACTATAACAATAAGAAGGTTATAAAAGTTCTCCAAATTTGCTACACAACAAGTGCCAACCACGGAGCAACAATAGCAACAACAAATCTATTGAAGAAGGAGGAAAAGTCAGAAAAATTGAGCTGTTGTTCGGGGCTAAAAATCAAATTCTACGGGCCTCCAAGTCCGATCTTCACCATTCAAATCAAAGACCAAGATGTTACAAATACTCAAGCAAAATTTAAGCCTAATCCAATGGTTAACGAATCAAAAAACGTAAGTTGAAGTTGGCTGGTTGGAACAGAAATCTGCAGCAAAACATACACTTTTTCTTCTCTCTTGATGAAAACTCTCTCAAAAATCACTCTTATGTACTAAAGTCTTTCAAAGACTTGTACCAATGAGCATAGAATAATTCTCCAAGGTTGTACTATTTATAGATACTGAGTGGTGCTTTCTCTTAAAGCCAAAATCAACTCTAAATAGGAATAAAAATCGAATCCAATTCCGAATAGGATTGAAAATCAAAAGAGAATAGGATTAGGACATTAGGCCTTTGGCTGGACAACATAGGGCATGGGCCCAACAGTTTGTTCATTTGATAAGGTGCCAATTCGGCAGAAATTATTTAAATTTCTATTAAATGGAATTTTTGGTCGCTAATTTGACCATTAGAAAATAATGTTGCGAATTTCCATCGCACAAATAATATCAGAAAAGGAAAAACTAAATAACAGAAATCGAAATCCAAAGTTAAAGTCGAGCCGAGCGGGCGACGACGATGGCGGCGTGAGGCTTGCTCTCTTCTCAACTCTTTAAGAGCTAATAGAAATGCTTCTATATATAAGCAAAAAAAATTCCTCCTCCTATCCAATGAGGAACAAAGTTCCTTTGGAAAAGGAACCGATTCAACATGAATTAAGCCCAAGAAGATACCCTCAAGAAGCAATTAGAGCCCAATTAGCATGCCATGGGAACATTTTCATATTCGATCAACCCTAGAGAAGCTTATATATGCAGCTAGAGGAAAAGGAAAAGATAAGGTTCAGCTACCATCAAGTTGGTTAGTTGAAGTAATTTAGACAGGCCCATGCAGACTTTATATAAGGCATTAAAAGCTAGCGTTTGGATATAAATTTGATTGAAACTCGAAAAAAGAGTTTTTGAAGTTGTGTTGCAAAACAATTTTTAAAAGTTGAAGTTGTATTTAGACATGCATTTTATTTGAAGAAAAGTTGAAGTTTCGTGAGTGGACGAAAATTTTCACCCAAAAGCTGCCCAAAATCAATTTTTTGGAACTTGAAAATTTTTGGAATTTTTTCCCCAAAACATGATCATATTTTATAACCAAACAATGTTTTACTTTTTTTCTTTTTGGAAAAACTGAAGTCAAAATCTATAGCCAAACGGGGGCAAAAATTTCGGTCTAAGATTTGAATTGTGACCTAAAGCAATTTTTAAACCCCATTTATGATTACTTTATTAAAATATTCTACGGGAATTCAACCGCCTATGTATTATAACAAAAAAAAAATACTTAATATTTATCTGTTTATATAAATTTTTAGTGAAAAATATTCAGTTAAACACTTTTCTCCCGGCTAGCTCCGCTCCTGGGCCCACGTCTAGCTAAATGTATGTAAACAAAATAAAAGTTGTACTCCCTCCGGTTCAAAATAAGTGACCAGTTTCCTTTTAGCACGCCCATAAAGAAAATGCTAAATCCTATACAAAAATACCTAGTATGACTAAACTACCCTTATTAAATATTGGTCACATAGTTATAGTAAGGAGTGAGAAAACTGTTTAGGGATATGCACATAAGGATAAAAGAGTAAAAACAAATTGAATTTTTTCTTGATTACATAACTGAACACTTATTTTGAACCAAAATGAAAAAGTAAACTGGTCACTTATTGTGAACCGGAGGGAATACGTAAGTAGTAGACAAATGATCATCATCTACATTCAGTCCTTTGAATTCAATTTACGAGTTATTATTACATTCAGTTATCACTTTATTATTAAATGGTCTACATATTTATAAGCTTTACTTTACCTTAAGTAATCTTCCAAAAAAATATATATATCTAGCAACACTAGGTGATATTTCATCAACTAGATAGGTCATTTGTAAGCAATCTTAGTAACCTATAGCTAGGAGATAGAATTCTTCTTTAATGCAAAATATATATCTCGCATATAAACTTTTTTTATGATTATGTCATGTATTTTCACTTTAAATTGTGACTCTTATAATTAAATTATTTAATTTGATATTTGTACATCATGTCTCTTTATAATTTTAAAATTAAGAAAATGATCTTTTTATATCTCTACAGATCTCTTACGTATAAAAGTAAATATCCTATATGTAAAAAAAAAAGATAGGATCATAAAACTAAAAACAAGTTTGTAAAAGTGCCATAAAATCAATTGGCCTAGGTATGAATTTATAGCATTTCCTCTACCCTTTTGAAAACCTAGCCATACTGTCACTAGAAAAATAAATTTACTTACAGAGATACTGCTACACTCTTTTACTTTTCCGAATCTTGGTCGATTCTTGTCAGTAGATAAAACCAAATGCAATCCATGTATGGATCTTGTAATTCTTTGACGCTAGCTATACTTTTTGTGGGTTCTTTTTTGGGTTTGGACAAGGTTTTCTAAACTTTTTTATTTTTTTTCTTTTTCTTCCAAAGTCTGTCCAAAGCCTTAAAGATACATATAATGAATGGTGGACACTGAATTCATTGTTCTGATATATGCAAGCTAAGCTAGCTGAATGAAAAAGTGAGGAAACAATAAATTGGGGACCAAAGCATTGTCTGTCCTGCAAAAAGTACTTAAAATCATGCAGGCAATATCGTAATCAATGGTAAGCTTTACTCCATTTTTTATAGTGTTTGGTTTTAGCTAGCTACTTGATTAGCTTATTGTTTTTCCATCACTTATCTCAGTTGGGGAAATTAAGAACAAGAAAGAGAAATCATAGTATATTATGCTTCATATGTGGGTCAAGAGCTAATTTCTACTGTATTTAAAATTTAGAAATTAAATTCTCCATCAACATTCTAATAAACAGAAGTTTCATTATACTCCATCGGTTTCAATTTGTTTGAAACTATTTTCTTATTAGTCAAGTGAAAAAGAGTAACATATTTTTATATATAAAAACATGAAGGACAAGATCATGTCGCATTTGGAAAACTTAAATTTTTATCCTGCATACAACTTGTAATCAATAAAAATAAGCTATTTATAAGGAGTTGGATACCCTTAATGATGCAAGGTCTTTTGAAAAAAATCGTGTGGGCTTTAACCTAAAGCGGATAATATCAAACCATATTATGAGTATCTTTAGGTCGTTTTAGTCCGATAATTGGTATCAAAGCCAATGGTTTGGTGGGATGAGTATGGAGATGACGGAGTGGTGGCGTTGGGCTAGTGCCTTTACCCGTCTATGAACTAATTTACTACCTTTACCCGTAGCTTCAAAGGCACATACACAGTCTCTCCTTGGGCTTCGATGACCGTAAATACTAGGATCATGTTGGTACACAACTAATTATCAAATTAGCCCATAAATGGTGATGGCTCATGTGGAACATAGTTCGAAGAGAAGATTATTGGGTGTGTGTGAATAAAGTCTCACATGAAAAGTATAAAAGAAATAAGCTATGTATAAGGAATTGAATACTCTTAATGTGTGAAACCTCTTGGGAACAAACGTGCAACTTGACCTAAAGCGAACAATATCACAAAGTACTTTGGACCGTTTTAGTCCAATACTTATATTAGTAAGGGAAATTATAAACAAGAAAGAGAAATCATAGTCTATTATGTGCATCATATATGGGTCAAGAGCTAATTTCTACTTTATTTAATTAAAATGTGGAAATTAAATTCTCCATCAACAATCTAGTAAACAGAAGTTTCTTTATATATAGAAACAATTAGCTTTAAATTTCATTTTACCTTTAAAGGAGAAACTTTTATAGCCATAAAAAATATTATGATATGTCTTAGACCAAAAGCTTCAAAAGTTTAATACCTATTACAAATATTATATGACATGTTTAAAACTATTTAAAAACGTTCATTTCTCTCTTAAGTTACATGCCGAGCAAAACTATTTCTAAAATTGAGGGGAAGGGGGATTATTAATTCGTACAGTTTAATTTGTTTAAATGGTGAGACTAAAAAAGCCATTAAAATTAAACACTTCAAAATATATTAAGAAAAATGAAAATTTTCCAAGAGAGGCCAATAGAAGGAAGCAGGAGAAGGACAAAAACCAAATAAGAAAAGAGAGGAAGCAAAAGGAAAAAGCACATAAAATCTTCATTTCATGGATAGAGTTCGAATATATGAAGGATTCACACTAGATTGAATTAATAATGTTCATTTAACTACTCAACTTTTTTTTTTTACTAAATCAGTTCATCAGAAACGAATTATTTATGTGGTACTCCCTCTGTTCCAGTTTATGTGAATCTATTTCCTTTTTGGTCCGTTCCAAAAAGAATGACCCCTTTCTAAATTTGGTAATAATTTAGCTTAAACTTACAATTCTACCCTTAATGAGAAGCTTTTATAACCACACAAATATTCTGGGCCCCTTTTTGACTTGTTTAGGACCACAAATTCCAAAAGTCTTCATTTTTTCTTAAACTCCGTATCCAGTCAAATAGGTTCACATAAATTGAAACGGAGGAGTAATATATAACAGTCCAATCATATCGATTCAGTAATCCCCAGCCAAAATATAAAATACGCGCAGCAACCGGAAAATGACACTGCACTGCAAGGCTCTTTTAACAGTCTAGCTCGGATCCCAACCCTAAAAACTTTTCTATCATCTTTATTATTACACATAACAAAATAAATCAATCTACAGAAGGAGAAAAAAAAAACAGCCCGGTGCACTAAGTATCTCGCATTTATGCAGGGTTCGGAAAAGGCATCCAGGGGTGTGATGTAGGCAGCCTATCCTAAAATCAATCCCCGAAACAGAAAAGAAAATAAGTTCTCACAAAAAGTCTAGGAAATTAATTTGATGATGATGATCTCCATCCTAGCCTAAGCTCGAGATCAATCTCATCTTCAATAGCTGAATCTCTCTTGCTGCTACCATCGTTGTGATTATTATCATTACTAGTACCATTAGATGCTGAAGTTTCACTAGTGTTAGATGAAGAGTTGATATTTTGAGGCTGGTTTATTGGAAAATTTAAAGATGGAGGAGTGCAAGAAGACATCAAATTATTCATAAAAGAGGGTGGGATGGTGAGAAGAGTAGAGGGATCCACACTAGATTTAACTGTTGAGGGGTTGAAGATAGTATTAGGGTTATTAGGTAAGGAGTAAAGAAGGCAAAGTCCACCATTTGTGATGAATTCTTGAGATTGAATTAGGAGGGTAGAATTAGCATTTGGGAAAGTGGTAGAGCTATTTGAAGCAAGTGGTGTTTGGTTGAGCTTGGCACGGTCACGGCGGTGCACATTCATATGACCACCTAGGGCTTGGGCGGAACGGAACTCTCTTCGACAAAAGGTACAAGTATAGGACCTTGGGGGCCAAGTTGCACCCATGGAATTGCTAGTATCTTCCTCAAATGCTCTGATTTCCCACGAATCGTCGTCATCTTTAGGGTTCCACATCCAATATCCGGCGGTTGAGCTAGGGTTCAACGGTGAGGGTGGTGATAAATATTGTTGTTGTTATTGTTGCTCACATTCAATAATCAACGGTTGAGCTAGGGTTCAACGGTGATGGTGGTGACAAATATTGCCGTCTGTTGTTATTGTTGTTGCTGTTGATGTTGGGATTGAGCCAGTTTTTGGAATTGAATCAAGGACAAAGGCTCAAGTTCATCACTCATGATGATAAGAACATATATTGTTGATTTTTGAGATAAGATGTGGAACAAGGATAAATGAATAAGGTTTAAATAGAGGATGGGCTGAATGTGGGGAAATGGAGACAAAAACCCTAGCTATACTGAAGATATATACAAGGTTTTCAGAGTATGTAGGTGTAGTTTAGCAGCTAGTCAAGACAAAAATGGGAATATAATAAGCCTCTCTAGTAGAGATTAGTAACTCTAATAATTTAGAAAAAAGACTTTGAGACTTAAGTATTAACGCCTTTTTCTTGGTATGAATTCATGTCGATGTCTCATTGGCAATCTATTCAAGTAGTTTAGGAGTTGCTCTTGATTCATGAGTGGATAATTAATTGATACTTGATGGAATATTGGATTAGACGAATTCTTTTTTATTTGAGCTTAGCAAAGTTTGGTTTTGGCACATACCTTTTGTCGTGGGACAGTGATTATCTCCAGACATTTAGATGCAACCAAGTCTTAGCTTGAACAACTAACATCTGTTTTTTGTCTTTTATTTCACAGGCATGTTTTAACTATCATAGTTTTTATACATCTTTTTATATATTAGAGACGAAATTTTGCAAGGTATAACCTGTTTGATTGGGCTTATGTATATTTGATATTCCTAATAAAGAATTTTGGATTTTCGTTTACCTCAAAATGGCCAACATACATACACAGTATGTCTTTTTACATACTGTGCCTGTAGGGTAATTAGACCCTTTAACAAAAAACATCCATGAGAAAGTATATTTATGATTTTTAACGTTTATATTGTATTTATTATTCCTATCTATACTTTCAGTAAATTTACCAATCGTAGCTACTATCTTAGATCACTTCCAAACAATAATATTGCGAACTTGTCTGCAATTTTTTGATTGCCTTTCCGAAACACATCTATCCTCTCCCCCACCCTATTTTGTTTGTTGTTCTATCCCGTTAAGATGACCTCATCAGTCATCTCTGGTATAGAATGGCGATAGTAACATCTTTTGTAAGTTACTCTACTGCCTAAGAGATTTACTAGTTGTAATTAATAAGTGACAAGATAACCTATCTTATATAAATCAAGAAATTACAGATGTTTACGTCTTCGGTTGGCCTAGGAGGAATAATCTTCTTTCATTACTGATTAATTCTCTTGTTTACTCCTAGCAGTCTACTAGCTAGGTTCCTAGGTTGTACTTGACCACTCCAATACGGAAATATCACTTATAATAATCAATTATTTGTACGTAACATTCGTTCATGTAATTTCTAAGTAAATAGAACTGTTGTACCTATCAGTTCTAACATGTAATTTCGTATTGAATTGGTTTTTAGTGATTAACGAGCCTACGATATCAAAAACAAAAATAAAAAATGCGCTGTAATATCTGCAAAGATAGATAATGGATCTTATCCATCGGATGGATATTCCTAATCTGGTTGGGTAACTGCATATATCTCTTTCAGTCACACTTGATTTAATAGTGACATACTCAGTTCCTGGAGTCCATTTTTACAGCTTGCTGAGAGCTTGTGAAACCTTGAATCTTATAGAATATTGCCCAGCTGTATCTTCTTGTCAAAATAGAACAAAATCATGCTCTTCAGAATTGTTTATGATGAATACGAAGTATGAGGAAATTAATTTAGTTTTAAGGTAATATCCAGTTGAATTACATGTTATACACAAGAAAGAAGAAAAGTATACAAGAATTGCATTCTAGAGTAATTTATTACTACGGAGTGCTAGTTAAGACAGATACCATATTCCCTTAACACAGTCCCCCATAATTTGGAGCGAATACAAAGGGGAAACAAAAACAGAAGAAGATAGATGAAACTGTATGAGATCTTAAATCTCATTTTGAGAATGGTTAAAGCCAATGCTATTCCAATTCACAACATTAATTTGTAATTCTACTTTATAGTGAATTTCTCATGTTTTCGCTTGCTAAAAGATAGAAAAACCTGTTTAAAATTTGCACATCATTATCAAAAATGATCTCTGTTATAGTACGATAACGTACATAATGTTTATACCATATTCCAAGTGATTTGCTGAAGAATAGAAGGCTAACATGTTTCATTTGCAAAATTTAGGGTCAGAATCCTAGTTCTAAGTTTCACACAATATACAATATTTTTCTGTTTTTTTTGGTTATAGATATGCAAGGTAGGATCAATCCTAACTCTACCTCCCACCAAAAGATAATTTTAAAAGAAAAATGTCCAATCAATTGAAAGGCTTCTACCCTTCTAATAATTCCTAAAAGAAAGCTACAGATAAAGTCTGTTCTGCCAATGAAAATAAAAGACTCAACTCCAGGTCACCTAACATTTACCACGATCATGAATGGCTTTTTTTCTAAACAAGCCATACTTTTGACCAGAGCTAGAACAATCAACTACATACCAAAGAAAAAAAATCAAAGGGGAATAAACAGGTGAATAGGGAGGAGGGGGGTTGGGTGGGGAGCTTCAAGTCTGAAACTCAAAGGAACACCTTAAATCATCAGGTAAGATACACCTAAAATCTGCTCGTTAACATTTAGAATCAACTGCCAACTCTCTCTGGCGTATGGTAATTATTAAGATGTCAAATACCCTTCTGCAATGTTATGTCAATTAAGGAACCATTTTCATACTGTTGTTTGGCCAGCCCATGTTTGCATACATTGGCATACCGTGCAATGGTTGACCTGCATTACCATAAGGTCCTTGTTCATGACTGAGAGGACTACCCCCATTTTCATCAGATGAGTCGCTTGAGGCATCCTGGGAAGGAAGGCTCGCCCCTAAGTGCGGAGCACCAAAGTTCAACAAATTGGAAGGTGGTGGTGTTGAAGATGGTGTCTTAGACTTCGGCTTCTTCCCTTCCGCAATGAAGCTACCCACAATCACCTGGTGATGAACTGAGGACAGTTACCAATTAAACAATATGCACTCAAATGAGAGTGCAGGAACAAAGGTAGTTAGAACAGCACCTGTACTGGTGTTGCAGCCGTAAGCAATCCTGCAACTCCACCGCCCAAAACTCTACCATCTGACCCGGCCAATGACACACTTAGACTACTTGTTCTTCCACTGTTACTTTCAGAACGCAAGAACGAACCTGATAAAGAGATGATTTCAAATCGGCCCTGCATATGAAGAATACCACCATATGCAATGACTGAAGAAACAAGTAGGAATACGGTAAGCGAAAAATTAGTGTAGACACTGTAATCATGTTTAGAAAACTCTGCATGCACATACAATAACACAATTATAGCAGACAATTTGACCATTCTAGCAATACAGTGGATATAAATACATGTGGAACGCACACTTTAGAAAAGATAGAGCCACCTAGCTAGTCCACAATCCGACTTACTAATACGGTCAAGATATCATTTCACAACGATTCATCACTAAATTAGGCTTCTCTGGAAGGTAAACTCAAATAACAAATGGTACTAACAACCAACTGTAGATCACCAGTCACCAACTGACGAAAGCCAATTTCCAAAGACAAAAACAATTAAAGTTTAAATTGAAATAGAAAACATTGATCTCCATAATATTTCAATGTCAATATTTAACCTCAATCAGTTGATGTTAGGATAAATATGATAACGGAAAGGCACATTTAAATTTCATCCTTCTACCTTCTCAACTGCCAAAAGATAGCCCTTTGTCTAACCAAGCTCAAGAAAATACTGAACAAAATCAGATTCCAAAAGAAATATTTGGCCCAGAGCAAATCTTTCTCAAAGCACAATGGAACCTATTACCAGTATTTGGCAAACACAGATATGATGTTGGAGAAACTCAGAAAATATGCACATCACCGTGATGATCTTATGTTATTTGATCATAAAATGTGAATGAGTTTTGAGTCCACAACACTCACCCAAACTATATCCCTCGTTTTAGAAGGCCTGATACTGTAAGTGTATCCAATAATAACCTAGTTCATTAAGGTGACCAGACGTGATATGCATTAATCCAGATAAAAACACGCTAACTGCTACCATTTTTGAGTCTAGCTAAGAGTTAGGTTGGAAAATAATGTTACATGTTAATCAAATGTTAAATATATTGATGTATAAACAGAGTTTTGCGGTTGGAAAGCAGACACCCCAACTAAAGATGTTTCCACCCCTTCCTCAAGTGATTTTCTCCCTGTTTTTTTCTCTTTTATTTACAAAAAAAAAAATAATAATTAAAATAACCTAGTGCTCCACTTCCTACCGCTACAAAGTTGGTCAATCTAGGATACTAGTACATGATACACAATTGACGCAGAGTTTCGCTCAATCTGATGATGAGATTGAGAAGCAAAGAAGAATATGAACGCAAAGGAAAGAAATAATTCGGGAGAATTCCAGAGGACAACCCTTGTGCTATAGCATCTCTTCTCGTCATCAAGGAAAAACATGCCAAGCCATGCTCGCAACCAAAAATCTGTGCCAAGTTGCTCTTGGTTGCAACTCGAGGTCAAGCATATTAGGACCTGTTAATTATTACTTATAAAGCCACCCTTTTGGAAGAATGAGACAAGCTTCACAAACTGCTTACTACAAACAAAGAGAGACTTTCTGAACAATCACTACCTTAGAATCAAAAGTGATGCGAGAGTGGATATTTTCATGCAAAAGATGTGGGACCAATAAAAAATAAAAGAATTAAAAAAAGAATAAATAAAAGATAATATCAAGTGGTGCAATTGGTTTTCACAAAAGCAGACTTGAAAACCAACTTGGTAACAAGATCTGCAACTTGCAAATGCAAATTGCAAAGAGAAAACATTCTGATTGGTTGCAAGATACAGCAGCTTCTACTATAAATAGGAGTATCCGTTCTTCATTTCATACACACCAAATCGAGAGAAGCAACACAGAGTTAGAGAGAGTAATCCACAGATTGTAGTCTGTGAGATAAATAGTGAGTGGGAGTAATATTGTAGTGAGGTGTTTAAAATAAAGAGTGTTATTTCTTTCGAAGTTGTGGTAGTCTTTTGACACTACTAAGTTGTAATATTATAGTGGTAATATTGCTCTGCTCAGGTATTGTATTTTACCCTGTTAAAATATTTGGTGTCGTTGTTACTCTCTTGTGTTATTGTTATTTTGCCGTGGGTATTATTCCTGGGCGGGATTTTTATTTTTATCCCAATAACGTGGTATCAGAGCCATGGCGAGTAATGGTCCGCTGTCTTTTCAATATCCCCTTCTCACAAAATATAATTATGAGAAATGGTGTCTACGCATGAAAGCCATTCTTGGCTCCCAGGATGTGTGGGAAATTGTAGACAGAGGGTATGCAAAACCC